GATTATTTGAACCAGGAAAAAACATTTGAATTATCAATGGCACATTGCAAGAGGCTAAACCTTTCAGGAAGCCCGAAGAGTTTTTGTACAAGCTAGAAATGGTGTTGTCTGGAATATCAGCTGGATGCCGTGTCATTCTGGGTGGTGATTTAAACTTGAACTTTTTAGACATGTACGACTGTAATACTCAAAATTTAAAAAATCTACTTGTCTCTTTTAATCTAAGTATGTTTGTTAACGTACCCACTAGAACTACAAAGCACTCGGCTACCCTTCTAGATTATCTATGCACTAATATGGAAAAGGATATGGTTGAGTGCGACGTAGTTTCGGCGGGTCTGTCTGATCATGATGTTGTTTCGGGTGTATTTAATATTAGGACTAAGCTACCCCGAAAAAATAGTAGAATATATTGTGGGTCAAATTATGATAGGTTCTCCAAAATCTGTACTGAAAAGAATTGGGTAGCGTTATTGTCGGCGCAGGATCCTTTAGAATTATTTCATTATTCTCTATGTGAGATATTTAATAGAGCATTTCCCATTAAAAAACTGACTATAAAACCTAAGAAACCTTGGATGACAAACGGTTTGAAAGTATCTCTCTTCATTATATAAGAAAATATTTCATTGAGAATTTCATACATCTGTCAAAACTGGTATTCCAACAATAGACATGTTTTGATTGTTGATTTGAACCAATCAGATTGTAATTACGCGATAATTTGCACTAGTGCAAATTATCAGATAATTGCATACTAACTGGTGCAAAAACTGGTGTTTTGACATTTTTTGACAAAAAATTTAAATTTTTGATTTATGAAATTCTCTCATTAAATACAACTCGTGCAATGGAAATATATTTATAATTTTCGACAAATTTGCACTCATGCGTCAAAGGGTAAAAATAAAAAAGTTCAAGCTGATACTAAACTATCTCCAAGTGAAATGAATAAATTTTTTTGTTCTATTGGGTCAACCTTAACGAAGGATATCCCAGAAGATCACAATTATTACAATATGTTCTTAAAAAATAATGTTCAAGATTCCTTCTTTTTTTGTCTTACCGATATCCATGAAATCAGGCAGACCCTTCGTGAAATAAAAAGAAGTGGAGCTACTGGGTGTGCTCCAAGAACTAAAGGACGATGCCTTAAAGACCTTAGCGGATTGTTTAATATTTCATTTCTCAATGGCGTTTTTCCGGCTTGCCTAAAGAGGGCCGTATAGTTGTCTCTATATTTAAGGGTGGTGATCAAAACGAAACTCATAATTTCAGGCCTATAGCTTTACTTTCTATTTTGTCTAAAATAATTGAAAAACTTGTGAAAACAAGAATGAATTTATTTTTAGCGAAGCACAAAACTTTGAATTTTCAGCAATTTGGATTCCAGGCAAACAAATGCACAAATGACGCAATATTTTTATTCCTCGAAGAGCTTTACAAGAGCCTTAATAACAAACAGGTGGCTGCATCAGTATTTTGTGACATATCGAAAGCCTTCGACTGTGTAGATCACAGGATTCTACTTGGTAAATTAGAGAATTATGGCTTCAGAGGTATAGCTCTAGAGTGGTTTAAGTCATATCTTTCTGATAGAGTTCAGACAGTTTTATCAAAGGGACAGTCGTCAGAACAACACACATTAAATGCTGGAGTTCCTCAGGGATCTGTGTTGGGTCCTATACTTTTTCTCATTTATATTAATGATTTGGTAGATATTGAGATCAGGGGAAAGTTTACACTCTTTGCCGACGATGCCACCATTCTATGGCAGAATGACAGTGAAAAACAGCTTTGTGAAATAATTCGTATCGACATAAAAAAAATCAAGGCTTGGTGCGATGCAAACAGACTATGTCTTAATATAAATAAAACTAACATTATGTCCTTTGGATGTAACATAGATGACATTTATTTAAATGATCGTCTACTAAGTGGGGTTAACGAATACAAATTTTTGGGAATTCTTATTGATGCAAGACTTAAATTTGAATCACATATTCTTAATCTAAAGAGTAAGTTCTGTTCGAACTGTTACGCAATAAGAGTCATTTCGAATGAACTTACGACAGACATAGCTAGAACAGCATATTTTTCTTTAGTGGAATCCCATCTGAGATACGGAATCTATTTCTGGGGAAATTGTACCAAGCAATTGTTTAATAGCGTGTTTCTGCTACAAAAACGAGCCATCAGGTACACTTTTTAAGCCAATGTTCGCGATACTTGTAAACCCCTGTTTATTAAATCTAATATTTTAACACTTGCCTCACTTTTTGTACTAGAAACAGCTTGTATGGCATATAAAAAGTTTAAACCCCTAAATAGAGTTGGTCATGCATATAACACTAGAAATTTAGACTAACTCTCTCTGCCTATACCTGTATCATCCCAAGTAAAAAACTCGATTGTATACAGGGGAAAAAAGATTTTCAATCATTTACCAAGTCATGTAAAATCACTGCCCACAATGTCTAAATTTAGAAAAGAGGTGAAAAGAATATTGTTGCCGAGAGCCTATTGTGATATTGACGAATTTTTTGCTACTAGTTTTTAATTTATGTTAGTAATTGTCATTTTATCGCACGTGAGCTAATTTTATTTTGTTTTGGTTTCGATTAGGTAGAGATTTTGTTTGTGACAAGTGTTTAAAATGTTCATGTCTTGTCTTATACACCAAAACTATTGTTAAGAGCTTTTTCTTTTCTTTTATATTTAACTAGCTGACCCGGCGAACTTCGTACCGCCTCTGAATTATTAAATATACCTTTTTTAGGCAGCTTGTGGGCATTATTCTTGTAAAGTGTACCACCAAATAAATAAACTCAGGCACAGGAATGTTCAAAGAATGTAAAGAAAACAAAAAAAATCTCTAGCGCAGCCCTATTTCACTCTATCTGCACTGCATGCACTGCACTACTCCATCTGTTCTACTCTATCTGCACTACTCTATCTGACCCACTCTTTCTGCACTACTCAATCTGACCTACTCTTTCTGCACCACTCTATCTGATCGGAATAGTGGAATAGTTCTGTGCAGCATTGTTCTACTGTATCTGCAATGCCGAGCTTCGTTCCAGGTATCAGAGATGCCGCGGTATACAAAATACAAAATAAACTTGGTATCGGTTATAAGAGATGGCGCCGTATGCGGGCTTAGTAAAATCTGTTTTTTTTTTCAAAGATAAAAGTCAAAATGACATTATGTTGGCAATACAATGTAAAATTGTCAATGCTGTCAAATTTTTTATGTAGAAAAGGCTTGTGTTGCCAACATAAGGTGGGTTCGGGATGACTGTTCTATAAACTCCAAGTGCACTAAACACTCCCGATGCGTTCGGGTTTTGTCATTTTGAGCTAAGAGAGTAACTCCACATGCGTTTGGGAAGGACGTGCGGGAGTCAAAAGAGCTGACTCTGAAAGCACCACCTCGTCATCAGCAAGCGCCGGAGCGGGCATGCGCACTATGTGCGTTTTCGTGATTTTGTGTCATTTATCCTATTTTTTTAATTGCGACAATCGACTATTCGACTAATCGACAGTCAACAAATCAATATTTAATCTGTAATTTCTTGGTAAACGGATGGAATGGAATGGATTTTAAACTGCTTATTTGACATGCAAGCAACGCGTAATTTCACTGAAATTTCCAATGATAATCTTGATGACTTCTTCAGACAAGTCTCCGTAATAAACGCCTTCAACAAAATCAAATATAGGCACCAAATACCAAAAATTCATAGAAAAGACTAGAAAAACGTTTGTTGTTTTTAAAATAATACTTGTCATTTTGTGGGTTAGGGTAAGTTAGGAAACTCCAAATGCACCTTGGCCGTTCGGTTTCACTAATACACTCCAAAAGCTTTTTGGTCACGTGATAAAAACGCCACTCCAACTCTACTCGAGCTCCGCTGGGCCATCCCGAACCCAGCTTCTGTTACAAATTGACTTGGGGAATTATCTTTAAAAAAAAACAGACTTTAAATTTTTTTCATAAATAAATAAAATAAGTAATGAAATTACCACATTAATGACATAACAACATGCTGGTACTGTCAACGCTGAAAAAAGTTTCAATTTGACAGCAAAATCCCCATTAACAAAATGATCCTCCATTTATTGAATAATTCATTTATTACAAAAAATGTGATAAATGAAGAACCGTTCGACCGATTTTGTGCAAACTTCACATAAACCATCTAATAAATAGTCCGAACAAAGCCTAAACATTTGGTTTGGCTAGGTGAGCCCGTTCTTGAGTTATAAAATTACAACGAAAAGTGGCATTCATTTTTATATATATAGATTTACGGAAATTTTTCAATGTTTGCTTTGTGAACAAATATCTTGTATACTTTTTTTTACACAAAAAAGCACGATTTTGATTTGATTTGATAGTAGATACCAACAGTAAAAAGGTATGAAAATGCTTTGTAGGCAATTATAAAAATTACATAATACCAACAGTATTTTTACTATTTTTGTCCAAATAAGAAACAGAAAAAAAAATGCAGGAAATCAGGTTTTTTTTTAAGTGCAAACAAATTCATCAAATCCATATTTATATCCCCATTGTAGAAATATAGGAATTTTAATTGAAACAAACCCACATACACTATTATTTTTGAACAGTACTTTGCTACAAATCAAATATATTTTATTTATTTAGGTAATGTTATCCCAACCAGATTTCATTGTTGAATTTAACTAAAATCTAAATAAATATTGATTAAAAGAAACAATGCCATAATTTTAAAGGAAATTAAATTCATGTATAGTGTAATAGAGTAGTTAGAATACATTAATTACACATAAGTATTAGCAGAATTATATATTTAATTTTAAAAAAATGGGAATAATATATGATACTTAAGTAAATGTTTTTCAAATGTTTGATGACCTTTTTCTTTCTAGGATTTTACTCTCAATGATTTTACCCAATCTTCCAAGAGTCTCTTAGAATTGCAAATAGAAAAAAAAATCAATTATTCACTTGCCTAAAAATGTAGAGCCTGATCTCCAAGTAGTTAAAATAACTGTTCTGATAGGTTCTCCACCAGCTTCTAAAGTAAGATCAATTAATGAATGATTCGAAGGAAGTTTGTAACCATATAAGTCTCGCTTCAGTCTATTTCTTTGTATATTTAAAATTTCTTCCATGGATATGTGTTCTTCTTCTGGAATTGACTCGTCCAATTCTATTGCTTGAAATGAAACGGATCTGTGACGAATGGCAGGGGTATCTTTTTGACAAAAAGCTACAAAATTGGTATAAAACTTTCAAATTTGATAGTTAAGAAAATTTTATATACAAACCTATTAAAAGAAAACAGATCAAAGCGATAAAAGCGATACCATAAAACTCTTTTTTCCGAACCATCTTTTAAAAAACTGTTTGCAACTCAAGACAACCTTAGCATCCTATTTTCAATTGATTATTTTTGTTGAATAGATGTTCATTCGATAAAGAATGCGACTAATCAGTACCATCGACTTATAGAAAGCCATATATTCTTTTTTATTGCTAATTTAGTTTTCAATTCTGCCTGCAGTGAAAACCTTGAATCTTGAATAACAAATATGTATTTTACTCCTGGCCTCTAGTGAACACAAACAATCCATGTAATTGGCTATTAATCTTTTATAGGCACATGACACCTTACTACACTACTGCTTGCTTTTGTTCTGTGTTTGTTCAAATGGTAAATTTGGAATGCTGTTTTTAACAACAAGGAATGGGATAGGTATCTTTTTTTATTTATGTTATGGTATGGATGGTGGACTATGGACAGAGAACATTTGGAATTGACAATTATGTCATTTTTTTATGTGTCAAGGGGAGGCTGTGGTCAAGGTCAAGACCCTCGTGCTGTCTCATAAGCAGTGTTGCCAAAGTTGCAGGGTCGTTTTTCAAAATTCACCGTATAATTTACCAGCCGGTAGCTGATTAATTCCGGTGGATGAATGTGTGGCATGTAGGGCCGGTTTCTCAATAGCAGGTCACCTTCGGGTTAAGCTAACTACAGGGTAAAGATTGCAATTTGACAAGTTATTCCTGGAGTTAAAACCAACCCGGGGGTGACTCGCTATTAGTTGTCTTCCTTTCACCCCTAGGAGGGGCTCCGAAACAGCTCCGAGGCGTTACGCGCTTATTTCTTTCGAAAAATGTTGCACCTGAAGTGCTCAAGTCCGAATCAAACTATTTGCCGTGCGTTCTGCATTTAGATCTGAGTTCTCCCAGCTTGAATTTACCGTTCGTTTATTTAAAAAGTGTACTCGGTGCATGCTCATTCCCGTTCGTTTAATTAAATTTCGGCTATTCTGATACAGCGTTCAACTGCTCTGTTCGCTCGCTGGTCACGTGATTACGGCTCCGCTCAGCACGCTCTGCTCTTTCGGCAAAATACCGAACGCAAGGTTGAATGCACTAAGGCCAGCGCATCTGTTCCTTTCAAATCGGGGTCGACTAGCACCGGAGCGAGTAGCTGTAGTGTTCTAAACTCTTGAAGGGAATACAACTAAGTATTGAGAAATTGGCCCATAGGCCAGTTTCACAATAGCGAGTCACCCCCGGGTTAAGTATAACTCCAACCCGGAAGTGACTCGCTATTGAGAAACCGGCTCGTGGTGTGACGATGGAAAATTTCCCTTCTTTTCTGGAATAGCCCAACAATCGTAAAATAACAGGATTGCTCATCCTCATTAGGCGTACCTCCGCCAATTCTCGAGTCAAAAAGGTCTGCGAGTGACGTCAACACTATCAGCTGCTGATAGTCATGACGTCGCCCGCAGACCCCGAGGGAATATTCACGGTTCAAGCTGTGCTTGTGAGTTAATTTTTTTATCGATTTGAAATGTAGAAGAGGTGATTTCAACAAGAATTTAACGTTTGAGAATTTGTTTTTTGACCTATATTGTTGTAAAGGGATAATGCATTTTCCGCCAAGAGTTGAGGTCTGCGGGTGACATAACAGACACTTTAAGCTCAATAGTTAAGTGTTCGTGATCCCACGTGTTTATGGTAACCGATCAAATCTGTACTAGAAGGCTGAAGTAGTTGACGGTACGGTTATTATGATTTCAGAAGCGTGTTCCAAGTTCCAACTGACATCATCGGCACTCCAAGTTTGGGAGGTTCCAAGTTTTCGGCCAAATCTACTCAACTGGAAAGCGGCCCAAAGCGGACCCCGATTCGAACACAGGAAATGATCACTCATGATCTGAATCAATTTGAACATGAATTATTAGTGCACTGTACTCTAGAAATGCGAGCTAAGTCTGCACCAATGCAGACAGTCGAATACACCTTTTTTTTTAAAAAAACGTTACCAGCGTTTTGTTTACGCACGGTTGTAACAAATTGTGGTTAGTTGATTGATGACAGAGCTGCTTTCGGTTGCAGAGTGCGATGCTCCGAGAACACTTCATATCCGATATACTTCATGCGTTTTGCACCCGAACGCTTGGAACCGTATTTTCCAGAGCGTGACGCAACCTCCGAGGCGTTACGCGCTTATTCCTTTGGAAAAGTGTTTGTTAAATCGGGGGCGACTAACACTGTTTTTACGCTACCGTAAGAACTGTCATACTTGTCAAATAACGTTACGGAATTTGAAATTTGGACAGCACGAGAACTCTCTATTATTTATGGTGTGTATCATCATAGACTTAAATACTACGAATAGACGTCCAGTCAAATGGTAAAAATCTGCGACGCTATTTGGAGGCTCGCTATCGAAAGCGAGCCTCCAAATTCAATTCAGGCTCTGGTATTTTAGATGCTGGATACGAGATGGCGCGCATTTCTGTCATAATTCAAATTCGCGCGTTACGCTATTGCCAATAGTTCTAAAATAACTAGTCCAAAATCATCAAATAGGCCAAACCATACATTAAGACACCAATTTTTTTTAATACTGCATCTTATACTAAATATTATACGCAAATTAATAAATTGTTAATGTTAAGATTTTTTTTTAATATAAATAAATTTCACTTATTTTGTAAATTGTTAAGTTTTCTATTTCTAGTGAAAGCTGAAATGGATTTTTTTTTCTTCTTTTTCTCGGCTTCTAACGTTTTCAATTTTGTAGCTTCCCATTTTGAAAATTTTAATAAATTTGTTAGAACCAGAGATTCTAACAAAAATTTTCTATGATGATGGCAAACGTCATCAGGGTCAGGGTCAGGAAATAATCTCACCCCGTCGTTTCTCTGACTTTTGCCACAACTAAAGTAGCAACATTTGTTTCCAGACATTTTGAAAATTAGTTCTTTGAAATCCAAGCAATAATTTATTTCTTCGAAAGTCGCAAATAGCAAAGAGAATTCTTGTCTACTTTTTTGCCCATATAAACTTGACAACACCGAAACATCAGAAAAAAGGCGGAATGCGGTTGTCCTGGAAACAATGACACGCTGCTCGTACACAAGGGTGCTAGCACAGTTTTCTCTGAATTTTTAATACGAGTGGCGCCATCTTATGAATTATTGAGGCATTTTTTGTGCTGCTATTTCCACTGGACGTCTATTCGTAGTATTTAAGTCTATGGTATCATCCTTGGGTTGCCTTTTATGACGTCATCTGTATGCCTAAACATAATGCAAATCTCCAGGCATCCCAAAGGTTCTTTCTTTTCAGAGCTTTGAAACCCCAGGCTTCGACGCCCTGGGGCGCGTCAGCGCACGCTCTGAAAAGAACGGTAATTAAGGATCAAAAAATCTAACCTTAAATTACAAAGTATATGTCATAGTCCTGGTCCTGTGTAAAATTAAAATTATTCAAATCAAATGGAAAATAATTCTTCAGAAAATGCTTTAATTCCCATGGTGATAACGGAAGTAAGTACCTCAGAAATATAAGGACATTCTGACACTGGAGCTTCGACGCCTAACGAAAGGCGCTAGCGGTGAGGATAGACGACCCCGGGGCTTGTCGTCCCGATTAAAAAGAACGGTTGGCACCTTAGAGCAGGTAAAGGTAAAGAGGAGTAGTGACCTGGATTTGGAAAATAGTGTAAACGGCTGTGCGCGAACGCTCGCTCTGAATCTTTCAGTGTGGGAATAGTCGCGAACGCGAGCCAGCCAGTGTCGGTCTCTGGTACATGCTCAAAGGGATTTACGTGCTTAATTTAAACGGGAATTTGGTTTGATGTATGGGTCCATACGTGGAAATATTTTTATTTATCATTTTAGTGTGGGGTTATTTTCTTTGCTATCATTGTCATGGAATGGTCCAACGATTTATCATTATTATTGATACAAGAATACAAAAAGCTACCCATTTTATGAAATGTGAAGCATCCCCAAAACATGAAACTACGACGTCGTGGTCGTTCATTCTGTTCACTGCGTCGTTCGCAAACAAAATGGATCAACCCATCCGTCAGAAACATAACCTGCGTTTTTATTCTCATCAAATTTTACCGATGGATCCACCATCCTACAGTGACTCTATAACCCACAGTGGCGACAATTGCTGTCTCATTTTTGATTGGTTCTAAAATCCCATATATTTATATTGAAAACATCGCCATCTTGTTCCCAACCCCTTATTACTTTTAAATATGAATATATGGGATTTAGGTGAATATTGAAAATTCATCATAAATCATGGAAAACAACGTATTTGATGGACCTAATAATGGTCATCAAATACGTCGATTTCAATTTTTTATGATAGATGTCCATTTAAATCCTATATATTAATATTTAAAAGTAACAAGAGGTTGGGAACAAGATGGCGGCGAAACCTCTATTGTCGCCACTGTATGTAAAGGTTTATTTAGCCACTGTACACCATCCTATGTCGGTCATTGTCATTTTCCATTCACTAAACAAAGATAGCTAATTCATCGGTGAAGCCACCGATGAGAATAAAAACGCATAAAGAGCTTCGGTTTAAATGGCGCCGGCGAGCACGAGCGAATGCCGTGCGCTTATGCTCAGTGCGTGCGTGCTCAAGTCTAAACGCACCTTTATAAGATCTGGCTGCTCGTTGATGCAACGTTGCCGATGTGCCATTTTTCGAGCAATATATTCCTGTCTTATTCTAGAATTTGCACCAATTTAAATGAAAAAAAGACTCCTAGTCAAAAATGCATTTAAGTTATGCTTCAACAAAGATTGACATAAAAAAGCATTTACATTGTGTTAAAACATATTTTTAAATAATAATTATTCGTGAAGACATTTAATATTGAAAATCACATCAGATTATTGGCAACCAAGCATTTCATGCAAAATGAATTCTAATGGCGATCCCGATCCGATTGGTAGATTTGTTTACAGTGACTCTATTACCCATGTAAAGGTTTATTTAGCCACTGTAGATTTGTTGCGCACTGCGCACTAAAGTTGCGTTCGGAATGGGAATGGGAATGGGATTTTAATGCCGTGTTCGTGTACTGCAGGGTTGTATCACGCGATGAAGATTTAAATTGGCGGTATAACACCGAATATACATAAAAAAAAACAAAAATTGCACTAATTCTCACACCCGATAACCTCGCCGAAAACGAAATAACAATTTGGGCTTATTCCTTTCGAAAAGTGTTTTTTGCACCTGAAGTGCCCAAGCCCGAATCAAACCATCCAAATGCACGAAAACCAGCGTATCTGTTCCTTTCTAATAACACCGGAGCGAGTAGCTCTGGTGTTCTAAACTCTTGAGAGGAATACATCTCTTGTCGTCCGTTCAACAAATGTCAAAATTGCCAAATTCAATTCAAAAAATAAACAGTAAACTGTTGAAAAAGCTAAGAAGCAGAAGGTTAATATTTTTTTTCGCCTATTGACCATTAAACACAGAAAATACACACATTCTGAACCTAAAAAAAGGAGCTCGTTACTCTGAAAATGGATAACAGAAGAACCACAATTCTGAAAACACCATTCGGCTCTCAGCAGCCAAAACTAACAGGATCAGATTCGAAATTCGTCAAACCAAGGAGCGTTCGGAAAAAAGATGCTGCAAACACTACTTTATCATCTAATTTCAAATGCCTGCCAGTCTCCCGTTCTACTCCTTCATTAAATCAATCGGTAAGACCAAACTTGGATACTACAGTCTGTGGATTCCCAGGTATCAAACCCTCTATGACTGCAGGGCCTCCACTTGTTGATAAAGAATTTGAACATGATTTAGCTTATAACGATTATATGGTAGCTTTAATGAAGCAACAATTAACTAAAAAGGTTATTGAAAATCATAAAACAAACCTAAATAGTCAGTTAATTATTCAATGTGAGCAATTGCTTAAGTTAGAAAACATTTTTAAGGATATTGCTTATGAAACGGAAGCTTTAATTGAACAAAGAAAAAGTCTTGAAATGCTTGATACTTTCAAATTCTGTATGGATGAAAAAGATGCAGTATGTTCAAAATATAACACTTATGAACGTTTGAATAAACTTATCGTAATCTTAAATCAAGAATCGAATCTTGTTAGGACTGCAAAAATCAAACCAATAAATTCACAAGAAGAATATGAAAAGTTCATAGAAACATTGAAGAGTTTAAAAAGTGTAACAGAAAAAATTCTAAGTGGGGACAGGAAATTTCAAGAAGTTAATGAGTTAACTATGTATGTCAAGAAATTCAATGAAATAAATTCTACAGCTTCTTCAATGGTAGATGAATTATATGATTCCAATAAAAAAGCTATATGTTTATTTTTGAAACAATTTTCAGATAATTTTGCTAAACAAGGAGGGTATTTTTAACCTGTATTGTAAAAACCTGTTTGTCTACATTTAGCTTAGGTTCTTATCAGACAGTATGCATTGGTCAGATCAAATATGTATGTACTTCGTTCCATCTATTAAAAAGCAAAGCTGTAGGTATTAGGTACTTGATTTTGTATTACGTTTGTGAATAAATACAGAATTATATTTTTTTATTTTAATATTAATTTGTTATTTTATTTAAGTTTTACATTGGCAATTTTATTCCCATACATTAAAACCTTTGTGCTTGTACAATATCGAAAATGCAACTCACACTTGAACTCACATAAGAAATATACCCGAAAACTAATTAAGATAGTGAGTTTTTGTTGTGGTTTGAACAACCATTCCATTGCATTCCAAATAATTAGCTTTATAAATTGTTCTGATAATATGAACAATGCAAATACATCTGGTCTGAGCATGGACTTCCCCAGAATATGATGGTATAATATAACATAAGCATAATAAAAAGACAAAATAGATTTGTGATTTCAAACATCAGATCATCTCACCCTGATTGAGCCAGATCAAGTTAGGTACCTATTATATTATTGATAATAAAGGTTGGGTCAAGAGTCCACGTGCAGGGAATCTCAAGTTGATTTCAAAGATCAAAAAATAGACCTGATGTCGCCTGTCGCCACAGAGAGCCCAGAAAATCTGGGTGAGTAGGATCATTTTTTTTTTCAGTGCGGTTCGAAAAGAACTGAGAGCGAAGAAATGTGTTTTAGTTTCCGCCCCATTTTACGTTTCAGAGAAAGAACGGATTATCCAATTTCAATTATTCGAAAACTATCCAAGTCTTGAATAAATTTGCCATAAGTGCGTTTTTTAAGCGGTCCGGTAACTTCAAAATTAACGATTTTACAAATTATTAGGTAAAGTTCGACTTTTTTGTAAAATTCAACAAAACTTGCTAAGTCTACATAGAAAAGAATTTTTTTACAATAAACTACATATAAAGCTCAGATCAATTGCTCCCTTTACAGCATAATCAATATGGGATCGACCGCGCGCTATAAAACGGCTTCCACAGAAATTACCATGCAAAAATTAACAAAAACAAAAATACATTTAAATGCAGGAAACTATGAGCTATCAAATGGAGAAAAAAAAAATATTGATTTGACCCTTATATTTTTTTATAAAAAAATTGACCACTGTTGCAAAACAGATCGCAGACATAAAATTCCAGGGTGAGAGCATATAGGGGAGCGACCTGTGGTAGTGACCCTAACTTGCTGGAAACAAAAATCTTTATCCCTGGGAGAAACATGGCAAGAACAAGTGAAAAAGAAAAACAAGAAAAAATTGAATCTAATAAATAAAACCTAAAATCCAAAGACCAAGCATAGGTATAGGTTATACATGAGACGGTTGGACCAAAAATTACAGTCTAGTCTTAACTTCCAAAACCTTAAAATGCACCACCAGCAGAGCAAAGAAAGTATTCACAGTGCGGCATTTGATAAAGCATTAGGCAAATAAAGAGAAATTGAAAGAACACAAAACCCTTTATTGCGGAAGGAAGAAATCGAGAAAGACGTCGCAGACACAAGGAAGAAATATTAACAGTACCCGAGTTTAAATCAAACAGAAGACAAAGAAATATATAAAAAAAAGCACAAAGAAGAGTACGGAATAAAATAGTACAGGAAAAAAAGTCATGGGCCAAGATATTGGAAGTTTTACCTTACCTTACCTTAGTAAACAATGAGACGAGATTTAAACCTATGATCAAAACTAACCAGAATATCTTTTGGTAGAAGAGTGATGTCACTGATCTTTTTGTTGAAATGAGTTGAGTCTTTAACATGGCTGAAGGAGGGTGGTTAGGTATTTGGCTATGCTGTATGTGGTGGGCGAATCTTTTGCACTTACAATGGGCCTGAGTGGGTTGCCTGTTTTGTGAATCTTAGGAAGCCCATATATTCTAGGTGGCCTCAGATATGATGAGTTTCCTTATGTTTTCCGGGTCCAACGGTAGTGCTCGGACGAGTTGATTGTTTTTTCGCAATATAGAAGCAGTGGGATTGCTATTCAGCTTTCTGTAGGTGGAGGGGGCTAGCAGTTCGGAAATTTTTGATTCATATAGTCAGTCCCGTTCATAATTACCGTTGCGTTTCCTTTATCCGCAGACAGGACTAGTATGTTCTTGTCTGTATTCAGGCTGCGAATAACTTTCCTTTCCTCGTATGTCAGGTTGCACTTTGGAGGTTTCGCAAGTCGTAGAATCCTAGAGGTTTCATTACGTATTTCCTCCGCAGTGGTTTTAGGTAATGTGCGTATGCTGGCTTGCACATTTGCTATGATGTCTTTGAATGGCAGGTCTTTCGGTGTTATTGCAAAATTGCCTCCTTTTTTTAGAACACTGGTTTCCGAATCAGTCAGAACGCGTTGGGTCAGGTTGACAATTGTGCGATCATTGCCTGTGGGTTTCGTAGTGTTCACTGGTTTCAAGGACTCAAACTTGTTTACCAGTTTCTTGGTTGTTTTCGCTAGTGTGGCTTCCACCACGTCATACGTCATTCGGTCAATTTTATCCCAGTCACTCCAGTGCATAACCTTGGTTAATCCTTAGAAGATCCCTGTCCATAGATGCTAGGATTGCTAGGTCTTTCCTGGTTTGGTGAATCCGTTCCCGAAGCAAAAGGCTCATTCCGCTCGTTCGAAAATTCTGTTAGATTGGAAGGAATTAAAAATTCTTCGAATCGTCAGGAATTTCGGAACGACTTTCGAGTCTCTACATCTTTGGAAAAAAGCAAGGGAGCCTAGAGAATGGCCCTTTTTCTTGCGTAAGTTTTCCAAGCGTCGAATAAGTCGTGGTGTTTCCTCCCCGTAGAGGAAACACCACGACTTATTCGACGCTACCTAACCACCCTCCTTCAGCCACGGATTGGCCAATCCAGCTCTTATGTCAAAGACTCAACTCAATTCATCAAAAAGATCAGTGACATCACTCTACTACCAAACGACATTCTGGTTAGTTTTGATGTCGTCTCATTCTTTACTAAGGTACCAGTGAATCAGGCCTTAGAGTATCTGAAAGATGTTTTCCGGAGGAAATCAACAACTTATTTCACCACTGTCTGACGACTACGTACTTTCAACGGCAAAATAAATTCTTTGAGCAGACAGATGGAGTCGCAATGGGATGTTCACTCAGCCCGGTTATCGCCAACTTCTTTATGGAACACTTCGAACAATGGCACTGCAAACGGCCACAAAGAAACCTACTTGTTGGTTTCGCTATGTAGATGACACATTTGTTGTTTGGAACAATGGAGAGGCAGAGCTCGAAAACTTCCTTAATCATCTAAACTCAATAGAACCCAGGATACAGTTTACGATGGAAGTTGAGAAGAACAACAAAATTGCATTCCTCGAAGTCCTCTTAGAAAGATTACCCTCAGGTAAACTGGGACACAGAGTTTATAGGAAGCCGACGCATACGGACAGATACCTCAACAAGGAATCCAATCACCATCCTAGGCAAAAGAGATGAGTCATTAAAACTCTTATCTGACAGGGTAATCCGGATTTGTGAACCTAGATACCTTCAGGACGAGATGCAACACCTAAAATCATCACTTGAAGGAAATGGATACTCCAAGCAGGAGATAAATAGAGCCATAAGATCGAAGCAATAGCGCACAAATAACAAGGAACCAGCACAGGTGGCAGGGAGAGCCTTTCTTCCCTATATCAAAAATGTCACAGGTCGCATAGGACGAACGCTAGAAAGACACGTTAAGCCTATCTACAAGCCCACAAAAACAATTCAGCAAAGTCTAAGATGGGCCAAGGATCCTAGGGCACCTCTTGAAACGGCTGGCATCTATAGAACTCCCTGCTCTTGTGGATCTGTCTATGTAGGAACAACCAAACGCTCTATCAATACCAGGGTCAAAAAGCACAAAAGAAATTGTCAGCAGGGACAAATAGATGGATCGCCGAATACGTGCTCACACAAACAAACCATGTCATTCGTTTCGACCAGACTCAAGCATTGGATAGAAACAAACATTTTTACACCAGACTCCAGAGAGAAGCCATAGAGATACAGAAATACCCTCGGAAATACCACAACAACTTCAACAGAAAAGAAGAGGGCATGAACCTCAACAAAAGCTGGTTGCCAGTTCTCCGAAAAACAAAAACCCTTCCTTCCCGAGAACGAGACAAGGAAAATAGCGTAATACAAGCCACGCCCACAACCTTGGATATAAATAAGGCAGGTCCAACAACAACATCGAATCCAGTCATCGGAGGAACACGGAAGAGAACACTTCGTCCTCTACCACACCGCCTCTGAAGATGTCTACCGCAGCAGTCGACGAAACTTTAGGTAGAAATACTAATGGACCACGGCATTATAACCCGGAAAACACTTTTTTATTGAATTGAAAAAGTCCCGAGCCTTAGTTAAGTGTGGAGGGAGAGTTTAGTTTGGATAAATAACATTCCACCAAATGGAAATCTTGAAAAGAACTTCGAACTTCCTGATCCACCTGTATATTTCTGAGCATTCTTTTCACAAAAAATTGATCGGTAAGAGGTAAAACTGCAAGCAATATTTAAATTGTAGTAAACATTCATACAAACGACTTGAAGTTGGAAAATGACACATTTTTATATCTAATTCGTATGTAGATGTGGAGAAAATTAAGGTCAATATCCACCTTTTCTTCGAAACTCTGTATTTTCAATACCATCGAAAGTATCAGAGTGAATAATTGAAAACTGTATATGATATAACGACGAATCATTTAATAACGGTAATACATCAGATGTATTGCTGAAGAATCAAGCTACAATCTGTGAAAAATTCATCGAAATCATGCGACGTGCGGAGGGTCTCACATGTTTGGACCTATGAAAATTAAAATGCAAGTTTTAGATTTATTTACATTTATATTCAATTTCTTTTGGATGTCTATGTTCTTTTGAACTAATATCCTTTTGATCATTTTGCATCAGATCTTGTCCCATCTGGTAGGTATACCTATTTGATTTTTTGCAACAAGAAAAATGGTAAAAACGCAATAGTTTTCTTTATTATACAATAATTTATTTATACAAATATTTAAAAACAGTGGTATGTGGTATGAATATTTTTTTAAAACTTATTTTGTTCTAACATTCAACTTTAACCCTTATTCTAAAATTAAAAAATAGGAAGCATATTCTAATAGCAATTCTTACAAAAAATACATTAGTCACAATAGATTCAGATCCATGTATCGGGAAAATTGCAAGAGTACCTCATACTACTAACTTACTACCTCTTAACAACAATATCACATTATTGTTACCAAATAACAAACTTTTGTTCTAACATTCAACATTGGACCTTATTGCAAAATTACAAAATATAAAGTATTTTTCAATAGCAGTTCAAAAAATACATTAGTCACAATACTGATTCAGATCTATGTATCGGGAAAATTGCAAGAGTACCTCATACTACATACTAACTTATTACCTACCCTCAACCAGAATATCACATTATTGTTATTGAATAACAAACATTCAACAATTTTTGTTTTGTTTTTTTTTTTTTTGGCACATTTAATTTGTTTTATTTAAAAAAAAAACAATTATCACACAAAAAATTGTCCTTGTATAATACTATTAATACTTGAAAAGGCAAGACATTTTGTAGGGATGGTACCTACAAATTTTAATTTATTTCTGAATTTTTGCTCTAAAAAAGAAAATTCTATTGAAGAAAAAAAAACCCTCAGGACAATTCATTCATTCATTGGCATTTTGCCTCCTTACTGGATAATAATACATTACGGTCACAAAGTCTGGTTTGCAAACAATAGCTAAAGATCCCAGCTCAGGTTTTTCAAACCATTTTTAGTGGTGGAAAAAACCTCATTTGGATAACATAGTATTTCAAAGTTTTCCTCTGCAATTAGGTCGGTTTTGTGGAAAGCAATGCAAACCAATTTTTCATTTGGCTGTGTACATCTTATTGGCCCACAAATTAAATCACCTTGATGCCAGAATCTCCCCACGTACACATTTTCTGTGCCATGTGTCATGTCCAAGGTTAGTGCGTTTTTTAGAACTGAGAAATTTACTAAAAAAAATATGTTGTGAAAGATTTATTAGTTTTATCAGATATAGGTACAAGATGTTTCAGGTTTCATCTGTAATATTTAAGAAAGGTAATATCAATGTATTTTTTTAACAAACATAAAAGTGGGGCATGTCAAAATTCACATTTGACTTATAGAAATAACATAATTGAACTCGTTTCTAGTAAAGAAATCAAGGCAGGCTCAGTACAAATTTTATTTCATATAAACCAAACTACATATTCATTTTTCGAATATTTACATTAAATAATTTGTTTATCAATTTACTTATGCACTTTACGAATTACCCAGCCAGTATCCAAAAGAAAATGTTTGGGTTGGGTTGTTGCGCTATATGAATTACGAATTAGCCAAGTTTTTTTTAAAATTTAAATAGCATAACTTATACTTACCAGATGAGACTGAAACAACCTGTATAATTTTTTTCCGCCATATAGAATCTTTCGAAAATGACATCAGATCACTTACCAGCTTTCTCCCAATATCCCTTGAAATCACACAAAACCTCGTATTCCTCCAATTCTCTATTATCAGAGGCGAACACATGCGGAATAGACTCACCGCTACATAACCATCCAGGATACCAATACCCAAAGAGCTTTACTCGAATTAGAACTAGAGAACGGCCTAAAAATGTAAATGGTGAACCAATAAACAGTTATCGTTCATTAAACCAACCATCTTGGTATCCTATAACAAAAGCATTCCTTGGTATTCTGCCATGACAAGAATAAACCCATTTAACATCTTGTTTAATCATATCCACCTGATCTAACGGTAAAGGATGAGGAATTGTAGATAGTCCAGGTGGTTTGTGGCAAAGTATTTCAAACTCCTTAAAAGCTACTTCAGATCCATCATATGGAATACTTAAAGTTTTGTAATTGGGCTGTACCTTTCCTACTATAATAGAGCCGTGGTAACTTGTTCTGCCTATGTAGAGAGGAAAATTATCATCAGACCGGCCTGCTTCCAAAGCAAGAGCTGGAATATTATCTCCCTTGTCTAAAAAAATTTACTCATAAGAAACAGTTCAATTCAATGTTGGAAATAGTTATTACATTTTACCCAATCTCCATCAAAATTTGCAAGCACTTCATAGTCGTCCATACGAACCCCTTTACGGCCCCAACAAACTTCAGCATATGCAGTGCTGTGTATAAGTTGTCCTGGAGTTAGAGCGTTATGTATCATAGATCTTATCACATAGACAGCATCACCAGCATGATCACCACCAACTATTGCATTATCTGGTAATTGGCCGTGAGAACATTTAATCCAGCTTACTGAAGTTGATGGAGGTTCTAAATAGAATTTAAAGAGAGACAGAAGCATGCATTTATTTTGATAAATGAAATATTATTTCTGGAAGATGTTTTTACGTTATATTACGGTGTGAAACGGAAGGTGTGTCCAATGTTATATAAGGCTTACTGAGAAGAGTTTTGATTGTAACAGTAAGGCGATTAGATACCTAGTGATATCGTTATGAAAAACAGTTAAGTTTACTTTGAATAGTTTTAGGTGTTGCAGTAGTGCTAGTTTTGTCGTGATTTTTGTGTTGTCCTGAATAAAAGTTATTTGAGTTTGGAAAAGTAGACTTACGGTATGCGTAAGAATAGGCAGGGAAATATAATAAATTTTTCAGAGTTAACTTAATCCAGCATAATGTTTAATAATTATTTATTACTGGCTCTGCAGATAAACTGATACAGGTATACCGTTTAGGCACAGAGGCTTTATTAAGAAGCATAGGAGCAAAGTGGCGCAGATATTTATAAAGAATATGTTAGTAGTTGCCGGTTTTTGATTTCCTGTGTAAGTATAATACAAGCACCCAAGTGAAAAAAGTTATGGAAAACTAAGACACTATCTTACTGATGCATTAACAGAAAAGAGTCTCATTATCTAAAATGGAAAAATGCAATCAATTGTTTTTAGAGGCATATTTTTTTGAGAAACTCACAATCATTATTATTGGAAAACAATCCTAATACAATTTACTCACTTGTTGCTATGTCTATAGCTACTTCTGCTTCTTCTATACATCCTTCATCTTCAGAGTCAGGTTCATCATAGGAATTAACTTGAAATCCCAACTAAAAAGCATTAAAATTTTGATTTTTACTATCAAAAAATATTCTTTCTAAACATAAAGATAAGGATGCCTATCATGGGGATCTCGTGAACGGTGGCAGATACGGCAATGGTCGAATGGAAAAAAAGTTGCGGAATTCAATGCTCAATAAAATGGTAGTTTAACATTCGAAAAATGCTGAACATTCTCCGAGATATCCGGAAAAAAAACAAATTTTGCAAAATCGATATTATACATAAAGTGAAGACGGAGTCTGCATCTTATTTCTGGTCGGTACACCAAATACTGTGTAGCAAAACGCGCCCAAGTACTTTAGTTAGATGGTAAATGGCGAACGGTATATTGATGGTGTTTATTTCCTTGAGCGGCTACCTATAAAATTGTGGAGGGGGTCTATTCGCAAATGAGAGAAACAAACTATTAGGGTTTACCAAATTATATTTTATTATACTTAAAAATAAAATAAAGCAAATATCTTTCTTAGTCTGACAGCCACTTCTAATTTTTCCCAAATTCAATTATTTCACAACTTTTCAAACTTTATTATTTTGGACCAGGAATTATCCATACTATACCGCCCTACTTCTTTTACTATCAATAACTTATAATTTATACATTTATTCTTTTAAACAACACTTTCGATTCATATTCCTAATAAAACTACCATTACCTATAATTATATAAATTCTTGAAACCCCTAAGTCATTTACTGACAGCTTATGCAGAACAATTATTTAAAGTCATAATCCTACTTACTCAGATTAAATAATTACTAACTATACTTTTATTAAACATTACAATAAATTCTAAATGATTAACCTTAAATCAAAATTTCAGCACTTAAGGTCAACAATGTTACTTCATGAACATCAACAATTTTTAAACAAAACTTTCCAATACTTTTAATGATTAAAGATAACAATCTTATTTCATGAACATCAAGTTTCTTTTCAAAACTACCCATTACTTTTAATGGTTCAATCTTTTACTAAGGATCAATTTAAACAGAACAATACTATTTTCGAATTCTAAGTCAACATACACAATTATTTAAATTTTTATTAGTTAGTTACTATAGCCCTTAAGCTTCAATTGGACAATCCAATTCAATAATCTTTAATAAATTCATACTGAAAATCGATAATTGTTAAGAGCATTATTATTTCCCCATTTAAACTCTTTGCAAAATTAATTAAAATGTCATTTTACTCAAAGACAATTAAAGTTATGCAATAAAGTTTTTATAGTCTAATCACTCAATTTTTATGCATTAAAGTTGTCAATGTCAATTCACTTCAAAGTCATTCCCATCATTGATAAAGTCATAAAGTCACAAAGTTTTACTAGTCACTAGAGTACTTACATTCCGTCCTTAAAACACTAAACTAATTTAAAATAATTCTTTTGATTATTTAGAGCTCGCACATAATGTTGATCGAATTTAAATGTTCTTTCTTTCACAATTTTCCATTACTTTTTCAAAGATTCGATTTACGTGTTTTCCCGAGGCAACAACAATAAAAAAACTCTTCCCGAATTTTATCCGGACCGATTCATTAGGAGCTGTAGGCTCAACTGGACTGATGTGAAGACTGAACTTAAACTTAAACTGTCCTGTTCTTCTAAAACCGCTGTATTTATATTTTTCGTTTCCCTCAAAATATTATTAATTACCCACCAAAATCGACAATATGGGCGGTCGTTTGACCATCTATAATTCAATTCTATTGGTCGACCTAGATATTACTCCAAAAATATAGCTTCCTCATTCAGATGATGATGCAATCTGTTCGAATTTTTTGTCATTTTGGGTCCAATTTAATTAGGTACTTAACCTTGTATTTTATTTTTTCCCGGTTTTTATTTATGAGTTCCAATGATGACACGTGCTTGGTCACTGATGGCTTGTTTAAAATTTGAACTTACCTATGTAAATATTTTAATTAATTTGGGTCAATGCTAATTTGTTTCATCATCTTTCAAGTTGTTGATACTGATTTGAAATATTGGAAATTCAATTTTTGATTATTTGATTACATTCAATTTTTACAGTTAAGACATTGTAAATTACGGGTCTATTTTTCCCGGGTCATCACAACTGCAACAAAGAGCTGTTATAGAACAGTATCAAAATTGGAGCAGATGGACTCATAAAGGTATACGCCACAATTACGAGAATAGCTAATATGGCCGCCAATCAGAAACGAATTAATCGGTTCAATGAGAAAACGAAAAATGGGGATATCTCGGAAAATGTTCAAAATTTTTCAAATGTCAAAGTATCATTTTATTGAGCGCAACTTTTTTCTCATTTAACTTTTGCCGTATCTGCTACCGTTTACGAGATCCCCATGATAGACATCCTTATCTTGGACACCCTGTATACCTTAACCACTGGTTTTAAATTTATGTCATTCCAATTTATAATTGGTTCAGATTCATTTTCTTTTCCAAAAGTAATGCATCCATTTGAGATTGAAACCCAGAAACCCCTCCATTCATTAACTATTAAAACAAATGGAGAGGGGATGCGTTGAACACAGCCGACAATGCTTCTTTTACATAATTCCTGCAAGAAAAAATAATAATTTAAATTATTTTTTAATTTTTAAAAAATGTATTCTTACTATTTTGCTATCAACCCCTTGCGAAGCAAGGTTTATAACATATTCTGGTTCTCCAGTAGTCTTGACTTGAGACATGTCATCTTCAACAAATAATCCTATATTTACATCAGTAAAATAAAGAGCTTTTACAGTGAATTGTAAGTAGCCATTTCTCAATAGGCAACATTGGTAGGAGTCTTTGTCTGTGAGACTCAAAACTGGAAATAAAGGTACCTAGTTAAGTATATGTAGGTAGATATATGTAAAAATTGGTGCATGTAGAAAAATTTAAAGGGAATATAGGGTTTCCAAAATATCATTGTTTAGGTCTCTGATTGAGGTGTCAACACTGTATAAGAGTAGATACACTGAATTACAAGGGGGATGCTAAATAATGCACTTAACACTTTTCCTAAAAATTCTATCTTTTGTTACTAAGCATCAAACATCTAATAAGTTTGTACAGTAGGTACAGGATAATATAGTTATTAGGCACTAGCCTAATCCACTAACACATTTTTATTTCATTCGTGTAGGGTAAAAATTCGAGAAAATTCACAATTCACCAGTTGGCTTTATTCTTTAATACAAATCTTCGGGAATTTAATGAGTATTTTTTTGTCTTTTAACTGAGCCGTTATAAGCAGGGAGAGAGTGAATTAGGTAATTCGATAAAAGATAGTTTTCCACTTTTCTTTCAACAGTGAGAGAGATAATTAAATTTTATACAAAAAGATCAAGAGTGAGAGAGAAACAACAAGGGTACACTGGAGAGAACGAAACTCTTCTGCGATCGTCTAGATGGGCATACTTGAATTCGGCCAGAAACTAGGTAGCTGCACTAATCCTACCCTTGAATTCGGCCAAACCATAAATACCAACCTACATTACCTTATGGTGTTAATAGGAAACAAACAAAAACTAGTAGTTACCTTATTATCCACATAATATTGTCAAACAAGAGCTTGATTTACAAAGCGTTGTGGGCCCAGTGGAACTCTCTGGCCGTAGAAAATGGTTTGCTCAAAAGAGTTTGGGAAAGTGCCGATGGAAAATCCACTAAGAGCCAACTGGTTATCCCAAAAGACCGGGTGGACGATGTATTAAAAGAAATACACGACGGAACTTCAGGGGCACATTTCGGAGTTAACAAGACTTTGGATAAAATTCGGGAACGTTTTTACTGGGTTCACTACCATGAAGACGTTAAAAGTTGGTGCCGGAAATGCGACATCTGTGCTACCAGTAAAGGCCCTAAACTAAGATCTCGGGGGCCCATGAAACAGTACAACGTCGGTCTTCCATATGAAAGAATAGCGATAGATGTAGCCGGACCGTTCCCAAAGTCAGAGAGTGGTAACAAATACATCTTAGTTATCATGGATTACTTCAGTAAATGGCCAGAAGTTTTCGCCAATCAAGAAGCCATCACTGTTGCCCAGGTGCAGTTTTTAGTCGTCATGGTGTGCCACGAGAGTTACATTCAGACCAGGGACGAAACTTCGAATCTGCCATCTTTAAGAAAATTTGTGAGATCATGAGCATTCGTAAGACAAGGACAACACCTTTACATCCACAGTCTGATGGCATGGTAGAACGATTCAATAAGACCATAGAGGAACACCTGACAAAAGTGGTCGCAAGGAACCAGCGAGATTGGGACAAGCATTTGCCTCTATTTTTAATGGCTTACAGAGCAGCTGTTCACGAGTCAACAGGTGAGAGTCCAGCCAGAATCGTTTCTGGAAGAGAACTCAGGTTACCTTGCGCTCTGATGTTTGGGATACCTGAAGAAGAACGAAAAGAAATTCGAGACTATGCCGACGAAGTAAGGGCACGACTTCTGGGTATCCATGATTTTGCTCGGGAGCATATTCAACTAGCCAGTGACCGGATGAAGACCAGATACGACCTGAAAGCCAATTCAGCCGGATTTCAAGAAGGTGATTTGGTGTGGCTGTATAATCCAGCTAGAAAGAAAGGAGTATCGCCGAAATTGTCTTCAGCATGGGAAGGACCCTACAAAATAATCAAGAGGATCAATGATTTGGTTTATCGAGTCCAACGCAACACCAGGAGTAAGATGAAAGTTGTACATCTGGACAGGTTAACGAAATATCATGGGCGTGAAGTTGATCGGGACGATCAACCTTAAGAGGAGGGCAGTGCAACGGCCGCCAGTGTGTCAAGAATCGCATAGCAGATTCGAGATTTTACGTGATGTTGGGGAACAACGTCGATCGCGGTTCTTCTGGAATTTACAGGAATAAATTACGGCTATATATAAGGATGGGTTTTAGCTTGTAAGTTTAAGTTAAAGTTTGACTGTGATACGAGTTAAATAGTGATTATTGAGTTGTAGAGTTTAATTGTTGAGTTAGTTATTAAAGTAATTAGTGTCAGAGTGTATTGTTACGTGGAATAAATTATTGCTGTGGTAATTGGACTTTGATTTTTGGAATAAACGAAACGAACCCAAGATTTTGTCACGCACACCAAAGCCGTGACAATATATTAAGTACCTACATTATTATTAATTTTAAAGAAACTTGAATTATAATAACTGATTAGCATATAATACCCAAGCCTTTAAAAACTGTAAAGGGCTAATAACTTTGTTTCTATATTGCTCAAGTCTCCTAAATAAAAGCTGCTGCTTTCTTTCGATTTCAATTTTTTGAATTTTCTAGCAATTTAAAATTAATTTTTACATAAATTTTGCATTGCATTTGGGTTAATACATCTAGAAAATTGTAAATATTTGGATGCGCAGAATAAAAAGATCTACCAAAATGACTATGGAAAGATTCACAGGCATTTGTTGTTTTATCCAGATCTACCGAGGCATGTGCCCATATAGAAGGTGGAAATAGCGATTCGTGTGATATGTAAATGTTAATGAGATAATCCGAGAATTTAACTACAGCTTCGTGATTCGGCTGGATAGCTAGCAACTCGAAAACAAAGAAATCGCTAACTTCTTGACTCTCCAATAACATTATCCCAAAACAATAACGTAACCATTTAAAGATTTCTGAATCTTTTTTTTTATATTCAATGCTTAAGCCTAAGTTTTGGATCTTCCTCCACCGTGCCTGGGCCAAATGAAATCTACATCCTGTTATTTTAATATTTTGCCAAACGTGGTTCACTGCTTTGTGAATACTTTTTTCAAAGTCAATTACTATTTTTTTCGGATTAAAGTTTAAACTAAATTGTGAATTGCAAATAGGTTTTATCAAATTTAGGCACTTAAGTCTTTGCAAATTTATCTTTCAATAAGCAGAACACCAATGGGACATAATTATTCTGAAAATAGCCATGGATTGTGAATAGAAAGTATTTGGGACAGTATTCAAATGTGCCATCAGCATAAATGGTTTCCGACCTACATAAAGTTTTCAAATTGGTTTGGGAACCAAAAATAATAATACAGTTTTCAGTGTCATTCACCAGTAAGAAATCTTCGTTCCCCGAAGTTTTCGGTGACAGTTGTACCAGAGCAGTATGTACGTCCCACTGAACGGAGCAAAGGCGGCATTGTCTTTATTCTGGCATAATACAAATTTTACTTAATGTAGTCTACATCTTGAGTTGTAAGGCTTTCCACTCCTGTAGTAACGGTCAGTACGGATCGTAAAAGTTTGCATAAATTCTTCTTTACACATCTCCAACGCGTTTCATTGTTTTTATTTGTGTTACCGAAACAATATTTTGTAACAAAATCAATAGCAAATTTATATTCTCGGTTCAAATTCATCTTTCGTGGGAAAAGTTTTATTTTTATGGATAGCTAGAATATGACCCTAATGAAATTTACAAACACATGGAGTTCTGCGAATGGCTTAATCTGCTCGAGGGTAAAAATCACTTCAAAGCAAACAGTATCGAATTTTATAGCTTCAAGATTATTATTGCTGTAACCCAAAATTGACAAATATATAGGCAAAATTTATGTTTTCCGAGATAAACACTAAACTTTAAACTAATCTCTTGACTGAACCAGATCCCATGTGGTTGTAATAATTTATTCAAAGTCAAGGATAATCTCTGACTCACATTTTATCACGAACTCAGATATCAGGTAACTGATAGCGTTGCAAAGAATGATATATTATATTCGAAGCATATGTATGTGTGTGGCGAAGCAATGATTTCATGAGCTGGATTTTTAAGATGCAATAACCAATTGTATAATAACAATATAATTATCAAGGGTTATTACTATAGTCAAATGCTTAGTTATAATTAAGATATAGATAGGTTAAGATGGAAGTGACTACTCAATTATTTTATTATTATATTAATAGAGGATAGTTTAGTTCATTTCACACCCTTGATAATTAGGTTAGAAATTAAGGAACTTTTATTTTATACATTTAACTAGGTCAGAAATTCAGAAATAAAAATAAAAAGCATATTAGATAATTAGAAAAGGGAAAGGTTTTCAATTAAAAGGGAAAACATTAAAGGTTCAATTAATAATTTGACCAAATGTAACTAGCGAACTCTGTTGGAGAGCCATCAAACTGGATCACAGGGAGGAGCACTTTGGATGGGGAAAGTTGAATAAACTTGAGAACCAATGGGAACACGACAAAAAACCAAAGGGTACTTTCAGTAAATCGCTGAAAGCTAAAAGGGTTGGAGATCCTCGATTTTGTCAAGTCTCGCCAGCCCGGAACTAGTGGGTACCCAATCGGCTTCTAAAGTGGTACCCAGAGGGTGGTTCTTTTCGCTTATTTAAGCAGATGTTGAGGCCACCTAAAGTCAGTTATCGCCAATTCGCAACTAGTTTTTACTACGAGTGATCGCCGGAAATTTAAGTCGCAAAGTCTCAACGAGTTCTCGATCCGTTTCTCATCATCTAGTTCATCTGCCGCCCGGTGTTTTAGTAAAAGCTCTCCAAAGAGGTGATAGTTATTATTTTTTTTTAATTTCAATTCCAATAAAGAATCATATTTGGGAACTGAACCTTTTAATTGGGAAATTACTCTTTTCTTTCAATTGTCTTTAATTTTTCTTTAGTTAAAAATTGTTTATGGTCTATTAATTAAATAAGGTAATTTTTTTATTTTTTTTTTTTATTTTACTTAACCTTTTTTCTATCACTAAATAATTAACGCTTACTTCTCTTTTCGCTTATAAATAAATTAGTTTTAATCTTTCAAAATTACTCTTTTCTTTTCTGGTTTTAAAATTCCCTCTAAAATACTGG